TTTATTATTAAATATATTATTACTAATATATTATTACCAATTGATATATATTATTACTAATATATTATTACCAATTGATAATATATTATTACCATATAATATATTATTACCAATTGTTTATTTATATTTTTATATTTAATTATTTAAAATTATTTAAAAAATTATCACAATATTGAAAATAGAAAATATTTGCTATATATATATATATATATATATCTATAAATATTTTTTTCGCAACAACGGTTGTAAATCAAAGAGTTTGATTTATTGCTAATATAAATTCGATTATAAAAATAAACTAAACGATTTATTTAAAATTATATTTTTTTTTTTATTCTTAAGTAATTTATTTAGTGTATATTTAGTGTATATTTATTTATTTAGTGTATATTTAATGTTTTACATAAATCTAAATTTTATCAAAATTTTTAAAATTATTTTCTTTCTTTAAAAGAGTGGAAATCATTTCGAAATCCACAAAACCAAAAAATTTCGACTTTACTTATCTATTTTATTCATAAAGCAATAAGTTTAAATCATCGAAATAAGCACAAATTCGTTCGTTTCATATAGTTTTTTTTTTTATCAAATGAAAAATTTTAATTTTTTTAATGGAAAGTTTTCATTTCATCTATGTTTAATGATAATGATAAGAAGCAAATTTCACAATTATTCTTTTATAAATATTAAATGATGTTTTCTTTTTTTATTTTCTTATCTCTGAAACTTTTACAATTTTTTTTTAAAAATCTAAATCGAATTTAGAATAGTTTTAAAATTTTTAATGAAAAAATTAAAAATAATTTCAAAAAAATAAAATAGAAACAATTTTAATATTTTTTTGCATTTGTTAAATTTCATACTAAAAATTTTAATAGCATTCTGTTTTGTTTTTCATTTTTTAATTTTTTATGAAGCGAAAATTTTTTCGGCAATTATATTTTAGAATTTTTTAAAAACTTCTCATAAATTCTAAAGAAAATGAAATAAATGAAATAAAGGGAAAATATCTTAAAAGTGGCTGAAAAAAATTGTGCTATTGTGTTTATAAAAATTGTGTTAATAAAAATTATCAAAAAATTTTATTTTAATGAGTAACAATTTGTTCTCTTTAAATTAATATTTTCTTTTTTTTTGAAACTCAACTCTTCGATATTATTTTGTTGAGGCAAAAAAGAAAATGGTTAAAAATTCAAATGCACCATATTTGATTTTCCATCGTCTCTTCATTTTCTTACTTTTTGGATATCGCATATCAATCAATTTTCCTTTACTGGTATGAATTACTAAATTCTAAATTTTCGGTTTTATTGCATTGTTCTATTTTTTTACACAAAGGACCGCCTATTCTTTGCCTTCTGTTCGATAAGAAATAATGATAATTATGACGACAACAATGCTGATAACAATGACAGTCACTGAAGTCTTACTTACCTAAAAAATGGGTTCAGTTCGACATATCGATGAAAATTTCCCATCATTTATTCATTTCTTTTATTAATTGAAACATATTTGTAAGAATTATTTGTAAGGAAGGAAAATAAAACTGGAAAAAAAAATGGTTTAATCGTGATAACCTCGATAGTTCGCCTGATAAAAATATCATATCATTTAAATAACACTGCAAAATCTTAATTTTTCACTTTAAAAATAGCTTCAAAAAAAATGCACAATTAAGTTTTCTTTCATATAGAAGCTATGGTATGAAAACTTTTTTTCCGCGACACTAAACGCATGAATGCTTTTATCGTTCGAAGAAAGAGAAAAGTTTAGAAAATGGCTGAATAACACTGACCATAATGTTTGCCGAAATTCGCGTCAATCAGTCATTTGACGAATATTAAATTTTATTAGTTTTAGAAAATTAAAAAAAAAAAAATTATTAAGGAGTTGTTATTTAAGTGGAAATTTTCTTCGAATGATTTGAATTGAAATTTGACAATTTGACAATTTCTTCATTGCATGTCAATAAAAATATTCATCTTTCGGTTCATTTCACTATTTTCATTAAATTTTTTTCAATTTTTTCATGGATTTGCATTTTTTGATGTGCAAAAATAAATCATCCAAATAGCACTTTAATTAACTGCGAAATAAAATATCGACGTAGAAATATTGGTTGATATTTATTTATGAATAAGCAGATAAATTATTTACTAGAATTTATATATATGCATATTGCTATTACTGGAAAAATGCTAGAAAAATTGGTTTATTTCTCATACATACAAAGTGTTATACAAAAATTTTTCGCTTTTTTTGTAACAATTTTTGATTTTTTTTACATTTATACTTTTTTATATAAATAATATATTTTCAATATTTTCAAATAATTCAGCGAATAATAATAATATATATTTTCAAATATGTTTTCAAGTAATTTTCTAAATAAATATTTTTTCTCATAGGAAAATATGCTAGTATATGGAAAATATGCATAATATTGCTGGCTTTTTTTAAAGCTTCATTTTAAAAAATTACCATGAAGAGTGATATTTTTTCTAAATTATTCTTCGCCTGGTGGGAATTTTTTTCATAGGTATTATTATATTACTTGTATGAAGTTTTCCATAAATTCTTATATCGTCTCTATCTATATTTCCATATATTTGAATTGCTAACCAATATCTTTCTAGCTTTATTTTTCTTGTTCAAGTCTATAGCAACTTCGTAGTTCATACTTAAAAAAAAAAGAAAAAAAGCGCAGATGAGCGAAGTATCTAAAAAACTCAACTATTCTTTTACTTAAGCGAGCAAATTAACTAAATTTTCGCGAAAACTGGCTCGACGTTTTTCGAAAATTAGAAAAAAATCATCTTTTACCTGTTTTTAAAAATTATTAATGAGTTAAAATTATTTATTTTGATTGGTTGTTCGTTGAAAAAAAAACGCATTAGTGCACATTTTGTTGGTATTATAAAATTTCGTGCAATTGGTTGAATTTGGAGCGTCGAATATTTCCAATGTTTTATAGGTTTCGTTGAAATTTTGCTGAGATTATTTCATTTAAAATACTTAATGAAATAAATATCATCGCGAAAATTCATATTTAAGAAACGATTCCACTCGATTTTACAATATTCTACTTATCACTTCCCGCACTGAATTTGATTCGATAATCTGTTGATTATCACTATTAAGTTTTATTTGTTATTTATTTATTTATGCTTATATAAGTTTTATTTATTTATATTTATTATTATCAATATTATTCATTATTACCATTGTTATTATCAATATTATTATTATAATTATTACTAAATAGTGTTGTAAGTGTCAAAATAGATGGCATTTCTTATATTATGCATAAATCTTTTATTCAATATTTTATCGTCTTCGCTTTATTATTATTTATTTAATAAATTTTCCTCAATTTTAATTCTTTTTTTTCCGATTAATTTTTTGTTTATTTTTAATTTTTTTCTTGTATACATTATTTTAAAGTCATAAATTCTTTATTGTCGCCTATTATCTGAAAGGTTGACAGCATTTAAGAAAAATTTTTTTTTATTGCCAAATTTTCGTTGATAGCATTCATTTTCTCGTTTTTATATTATTAGTGACGTTCCTATTCATTAATGTTTTTTTTTTATTTTTCTTTTTCTAAGAGCGTTCACCGTTTCGCGTTAGTCTCGCTGCATTGACTTATCGCACCAGACGAATTTTGCCAGGAATTTTACTCAGCAATAGAAATATAGGTGAGTTGTTAGTTGTATCATTTTTAAAAGATAATTTTATCCATGCCGAGAGTAAAATGTCGGCTCTATCGGCTCAGCGAAACGACAGCAACGAACCAACTAACTCATTGCGTTCGTTGATGATATTATTTATTATCAAAAAGCAGGAGGATTTAAGAAGGACTTTTTAAAAAAGCAAAGAAAGTGTAAAATATTGAATAAAAAGTTCAAAAAAAAAAGAAAACAAATAGGAAATAGAAAAATCAAATATTTCATTTTGAATATTTCATTTTCTAACAATTTGGCTAAAAGAAATTTAAAAAATAACTGAAAAAACTGATCGATATTTATAAAAGAAAATAATTTTTAGTTTAAAATTTTTTTTTTATTTCAATAAAAAATTTCATTTATATATAAAAATATACTTAAAGATTGAATTTTTAGGTAAATGCAAATAACTTTTTACAAATTTATCAATGGATGATAATAATATGAGCAACGATGAAAAAAAAGCACTTAGCCTTGATTCTGAAAATTTCACCGAGCTATGCAGTCGTACGTTGTATTCATTAATAAGAAATTTTATTTTTTATTGCAAAATTTTCATCTTATATTCTATCTTATATTTATTAAATTCTAAAATTCACTAAGAAATGGTACCAATTCCTAATCTCATAATTTATTCCATCTCATTATCACTTGATGAGAGAAGAAATATTTTGCTTGATGCTGAAAATACCATTTTTACTCACTCTTGAGAAGAAATTCATAGACGAACATAGTTGAATCATAATTATCATAATTAATAATAGGTTCGATTGAGTAAGTCTTCACTTTTGCCTTATTATAGGCGATCATCATAGCAATAATTTTTTTTTTTCTTTTAACAGTCCTCACCATTAGTGGTTAAGCTCGCTCCATTGGCTTATCGCATTGGGCAATATGTCATGGAGCCCTTTGGCGATAGAAATAGAGATGAGCCGCCAGCATCAGCCCGAATTTTTGTACAGGTTTGCTCCTGCGGGGAATCGAACCTCAGCATCGGCACTCACTGAGCAATAGCCCATTGAATCATTCTATCCTCATAGCAATAATTACCAACCATGTTAGCAAGTATAATTTTTCTGGAAGTTAAAATTTTTTCAATAATTTTTTACGCTCTACTGCTTTATTAAATATAGGTGGAATGAGAAGAAAAAGAAAAATGAAATTTATTAATGGGAAAGAACAATGCCAAAATTTGATATCGAAAAAAATTATTGCAAATTGAAATAAAATCGAAATTTTAACAAAAACTTAAAGCATAATTTTATATTAATAGGACATATGCGCAATATTGTACATTTTTTGGTGGAAGACTGGTGCCTTTCTGCAATGCTTGGAATCATAACTGCTATACTTTCTGTTACTGTCGATGTTATCATCGAAAGGTTACAACACGGTGCACTTTTTTGGAACCATTTTATATTAGGGTCATGCGATCTGATACTCATTAAATAAAAAACTATTAGAAAAAAAAATAATTTAATTTCTGAAATTTTAAATTTTTTATTCTATTTGAAATGAGATTATTGATGAGGAAAATGAGATATTCTCTGCTCTGAAATTTGTATAGTCGTTTTATAAAATTTGAGGAATAATTATGAGGAAACATTTTCAGTTCATGTGGCACTTTATTCAGTTATCCTCAATTATAACGTCTATTTAGCAATGTTTCAGTGGGTATTTCATGTAGTTTTTCTCACTTTTTTATCATCTTTATCATGTTTGATAATATCGAGGCAAGCAGTTGGTAATTTTTTTTTTTTTTTTTCAATTATTACTAATATATTGATGTTAGTCGCAAGTTTTTTGTTGATTTAAAAATAAGGAAGAGGAGTTGTATGATAAAAAATTACGAAGACAAATATTATAAATATCAGAGAATTATCTGAAAAATCTTTTATTTGATAAAGCAAAATCGGCTAAAACAAAAAAATCCAAAGCTAATGAGTTTTTTTTTTTATTGTAAATATTAGAGAATTCTTTTAGGTTCAGGCATTCCAGAGGTGAAAGTTATTATGCATGGTTTCAAAATGAAAAGTTATCTTACATTCCGGACTTTAATAGCCAAAATGGTTGGAATAACGCTTGCCATAGGCAGTGGCTTGCCAATAGGCAAAGAGGCAAATTTTTTTATCGAACTTTACGTAAATAACTTCAATATAAAGGATTTCTTGTTTAAATTTAGGGTCCATTCGTTCATATGGGTGCTATAGTCTCAACAATTTTAAGAAAGATAACAAAAGCATGTCATTATTCCGCATTCTTCACCAATGAAGGTCATGAAATGGAAATGCTATCATCAGGATGTGCTGTTGGTATCGCATGTACCTTCTCTGCTCCAGTTGGTGGTAAAAATTTGCAAATATTTTGAGTCGTAAGTCAACTACCGTTGCCATAATCTTTCTCGTTTCTTATTATTATTATTATTAATTTTTTTAGATTTCTTATTAATTCTATTTGTTTATTAGCTTTAATAATACTTATTTGCAGTTTATAATTTGATGATTATGGATTCTAAAAAAAAATAACTAAAGATAGTGTTGCTTGCTTTTATTATAAACTGCTTTTAGATAAAAAGAAGAGTATCTCATTAGTATCATTTCTAACTTAATTTCTAATGATGATGCTAGCGATTCACTTGTACTTCTATCGCCAAAGGGCTCCCTGGCATATTTGTCCAGTGCGATAAGCCAGCGGAGCGAGTTTAGCCAGTAATGATGAGGACTCTTAAAAAAAATTTCTAGTTCGATTTCGATAATTATTAGATTTAAAACCTCCGGGCAAGAAATCTTCTCAAGAGGGAAGTATTCATAGATCCATCCAAAATGGAAATCATGAAGTAAGGATGAATGGGTCTCAAAAAATATTGAATGAATTTCGTTAAAATTTTTTTTTAAAATTTCTAATAAAGGTTGTTGGTTTTTAATTTTAAAAAACCAATAAATTAATTAATTTAATTTAATTTAATAAAGTAAATTTCAGCAGTATTGTATGCTATCGAGTCAACATCAAAATATTTCGCTGTGAAAAATTATTGGCGAGCTTTTTTCGCTGCAACTTGTAGTGCTATAATCTTCAGATTTGCGAATCGTTTTGTTACAAGTGACCAATCTGGTAATTTGTTCATTTTATAATAATAAAATTAATAATACTACTATCCATTGAATTTCTTAATGAAAATGCTGATTAAAATAATCAATGAAATCAAAAAACAACAATGCGCAAAGTGATTTAGAAAAGTGTAAAAATGATGCAAATACAAGTTTGCACGTTTGATAATTCTGATAATCGAATTTTTAAAAATTTAAAATCTCCACCAAAAAATTTTGAAAAAATATTTTACTATGATTTATAAAAGTTTTTTCAGGCGCCATTACAGCATTTTATCAGACAAAATTTCCTACAGAATCTTTTGTTGTCGAAGAATTAATAATTTTCGCGATCCTTGGGTAATTTTATTTAATAATGATAACAATTTAATATTTTATTTTAAACATTCACTAGTTTCAACCTCTTTAACCATGCACGATTAACCTTTTTATGGAAGTTGACTATTGTTTTTCAAAAGTGAAGCTAAGCTACTTTTCAACTATGAGTGATTTGGTGATTGAAATTGATAATGATAATGAATGATTAATAGCATCTCATATTTCAACATTAAAATAATTCATCAAAAATCGTTGAAAAACAAATAAAATACTAAATAAATCATCATTTCATTGACTAATAAAAAAATTTTCACGCTATATTTCGAAAAAAAAAATTCAAATTACAAATTAAACATATTAAAAATAAATTAAATTAATAATTTATTTATGTTTATTTATATTTTGACGGATGAAATAATAATTTCAGACTTTTTGGCGGTCTATTTGCTTCATTATTTATTTTCACTCATCGACGTATAACATTATTTTGTAAAGAAAATCGTATTTTTAAATTTATATTTGGGAATAAGTAAGAATTTTTCTTCTTTCTCTAAAATTACGGTAAATAATATTTGGAAATATTTTATATTTTTTAAATTATTGTAGATTATTTAATTATTTTATTTAAATTACTTTAAACTTCAATTTGTATTAAGTTAAATCAAAAAATTTTTATAAATGAATGAAATTTGCGCCAGAAAAACGAAAAAAAACGACCGTTTTCGTATTGTGGAACTGCGATTGATAAATAGTTTTATAAGAATTCGAATTCAAATTTTTTTTTCGCTATTTTCAAATTTTTATCGAAATTTCCTTATTTTAATTTCTTACTTCAATTTTTTAATAAATTTCTAATTTTTATTAATTAGTGGACTATTATGATAAATTAACTTATTCATAAGCAGTTTCTATTGGATTCCTGTAAAATAATTTGCTTATTTCTCATTCCTTTTTCCTTAAATTGGCCTATGCGGCGAATATTTTAAATCTAATTGGTCTTCTCTTTTTTCTAGTTTCTTCGCATTCACAGTTTTCATGAGTCTAGTCGTTGGCATAATTACATATCCGCAAGGTTTTGGTCGATATATTGCAGGCAAAGTAAGCCTTTTGTTCAATAATTGAAAGTGTTAGATTAAAATATCCGAATAATTATTTATGCTACACCGCTCAAATAATTCTCTCTGATAGAGAAGCATCTTTTTTCTTCATAGCCGATAAAATTTTTGCTAAACCAGAAATGATAATTTGGTTGATGGTTGATGGCGGAGTAAACTATTTCCAGTAAACTATTTATATTTATTTATTTATAACTATATATTTGGCAATGACCATTCTTAATCCATAAACGAAAATATCTTTCCTATCAAAAAGTTTTTTCTCCAAAAAATATATCCAAGTTTATAAATTAAAAAAAAATATATCCATTTTCTCTTCTATATTCTATAGAATGAACAAAATTTGTAATGTTACGATAAAACAAAAAATTAAAAAAAAAAAAAAAAATATTTAGAAAAAATTTTTATTGAAATATTTCATGAAATTTTTTTTTTTGCAACTATTTTTGAGTCCAATTTCATTTAGTTAACGTTTCGTGAGACAATGGCCGATTTCTTCAGTAATTGTACGCTGCATATAACAGGAAATAGTTGGCAGGCTTGTGATGAAAAAATGTTGGAACATTGGTTGGGTGGATCAGAACGAGATATCAGCATATTCGTTTCACTCAGCTGCTATTTCTTTGCATATGTAAATTCAAACTCCATTCCTAGATTTTTTTTCTAAGAGTCTCGTTCCACTGGCTTGTCGGAGCAGAAATTTTGTCAGGGAGTCATTTGGCGATAGAAGTACAGGTGCGTCGCCAGCAAACCAAGGGATTCTTCCTAGATTATCTATTTTTTCCTAGATTCTTAGATTAATTAATTTTATTTCAACTAATAATAATTTTTGGCGACTATAAGTGAATAGATGTAAAAACTTCGCTTTTACTTTACTTTTAATTTAAAAAATCTGGTATTTTTTAAATTAACTGTACTAAATATTTTTATATATTTCAGTTTATCTTAGTGGCCATATGTATATCAATTAATGTACCAGCTGGAGTATTTGTACCCTCATTTATAATTGGTGCAGCAGGTGGCCGACTTGTTGGCGAATTCATGTCATACATGTTCCCTGAGGGTCTTCGCGGTCCTGATGGTCCTCTTATATACCCCGGATTGTATGCTGTTGTTGGTGAGTAAATTATTCTATTATCAATTATATATTTTATATTTTTTATTATATTATATTATATTATATTATTATATTATATTATTATATTTCAATATTATACATCAATACAATACAATGCAAAATTTTATACCATCTTATAAAATATTTTTAAAAATACTATATTCAGCAAAGCTTTAAACTAGCTGAAAAAATCTAAAATCCAACATATATAAACTGCTTGTATCCCTACCAGAATTTCAGGAGCTGCATCGTATACTGGTGCTGTTACGCACACACTATCCGTCGCAGTAATAATTTGTGAACTGACTGGACAACTAGCTCCACTTCTGCCTGTTTTGGTAATTTAATTTTCGAAAAATTTGCAAATATTTTTATCTATTATGGCTATCTTCTTCTTCTAACAACTTCAATGATTGTAGATTTAGCTGGCTTCACTAACGACTAAAATAAATCACCCACTTCCGAGAAATCTGATTTGATGCCATGCCTGAAAGTATAATTGAATTCATTTCGTTTTTCACCACTTAAGCGTTCAAAATTTTATATTTCCATCACTTTTAACATCATAGCAATATCGTTCATTCATCATAAATCTTAGTAAACGACAATACGTCAATTCCTGCGATGGGTGACGGACTCAGTATAACCAGCGCAGGCGACTCTATAATATTACCGAAGATTATTCGATTCGAGCAAAAGTGGGCACCATATTAATATCTATCCGCTCTATGAGTTATTTTTTTTGTAAACAGTCCTCAGCATTGCTGATTAAGCTCGTTCCATTGGCTTGTCGCACTGGGCAATATACCAAGGCGTCCCCTGGCGATAGAAATACAGGTGAGTCGCCTGCACCACCCGAACTTTTCTACAGCTTTACTCCTGCGGGGAATCGAGCCTCAGCATCGGCGTTCCCAATTGAGCAGCAATCCACTGATAGAAAGATACATATTAAATGTATCTTAAGTATCTTAACTATGAATGATCAATGATAGATAGACTTTCGATATCATTGGCTATATTTCGCAGAAATATGGCGAGATTTTGCATACGACAATGCAGCAAGCGATTCCAGTTAGGTTTTGCCAGGTAGAAAACGAATTTTTATGCGCATTAGTTCTATCTAGATCTGGCCTGAAATTTGATTATTTGGACAGTTGAAGAGTAATCAAATGTTCCTCATAAATGCTGAAAGCATATGACGATGACAAAAAGTCCACGCTCATCACCAATGTAGAAAATGCTGCCCATATCAGTTATAATGGTATATTTGCTGGCTATAGAAGACAGTGGAACAGCATCATGTTCCACACAAGCTTTTTTGAAAACAATCTTTATTCAGACAATTCGAGCATAAAAGCACAAACAATGAGATACTATGGAATTTGATTTTGATGCTGCCATCTTTGCTATCAGAAAGATTACATAACTAACGCAGCCAGTAAACTACCTAACAAGGTAATTAATGGTTTGGACATAGGAAGAATTCATATGGGCAAGTGTCATCCTGGATAAAGTGTGGATGTATCCTTATATTCAAAAGCGTTCAGGCATGACATTACCGCTGGCATAGAAAATCAATTTAAATTTGTCTGACAGACATCTGACTTCCTTATTAATTAATTGAGCACGATTAAGCTTGAGGTCATAATTGCTATTTTATTTTCTGAGCAAAATGTTTGCCACATATCCCATCGAGTTATTATATCATTAGTATCAAAATTAAAATTAATGATTAAGATTAAGAAAATCACAAAATTACCTGAAAAAAAACGATGGGGAAGGAATTGAGCGAAAAATTTCTTGGCTTCTATTAATTGTATTTAATCAATTTAACAAATTTAAAATAAAAAAAGATAAAAGAGAAGGATGTAGAACTTAGGCACAATCGAACAGAATAAACATAGATCGACACGACGACACAACCGCTCACGATCAAAACCCATGAATCAATGTGAATCATTTCTTAAGCTAATATAGCCTATACAATATTTTTATGAGTATCTTCAGATAGCGATTTTGGTTGGAAATGCAGTTTGCAAATTTCTTCAACCTTCCATCTATGAAAGCATTATTAAAATAAAAAAATATCCATATTTGCCTGATTTACCGCCATCAAGGATGAGGTATGATCCTAAATAATAAAACAATTGATAAAAGATAAAATAAAAAAAAATAATTCCCATTATTTCAATTAAAATATAATATATTTGATAAAATATAATTAGTTTGTTCTAATATTTTCTAAAATTTTTAATTCAATTATGGCAGACATGAAAAATTTCTTTATCTCAATCTGAACATCAAACATCATAGTTCCGTCATAATCTTTTCCCACTGGCGAAAATTAATATCAATTTGAGATGTCCCTCCCTCCAAGTGAATTTGAATTTCTGACAAAAGAATGATCTAATCTTATAAACACTGGGAACCACAAATATGAAGATGTTAAAAGAAGAAGATGTCACATTCTATAGCCATAAATGAAAAGAAATTGCCGAATTTATTCGATTATTTCTAGTGTACACACTGTTAAAGTGGAACAAATTATGGTGCAAGAAGTGATTTTCATCACAAAGAAAACAACTTACAAAGAACTACGAGAAATTCTTCGTCTAGCACCCAATCTTAAAAGTTTTCCCGTTGTTACCGATCGAGGTATATTTCATTAATATTCCATCACATTTAATAATGCTATCTTTTTTCAAATATTACAACATTATGCATTTAATAATCATATTAAATATAAATTTAAATATTTGATCATATGAGTGTTTCTTTTCATACATGTAAAATTATACGTTTTGCAAATCATCTTTAATCACCCAAGCAAATTTCAAAAGCCATATATTCTCTTAATGGCAGTTTGTACTATCGCATTATCTTTTAACACACTTCGTTCTTTCTTCTCTGCTTTCCTATTATAGTCCCAATCTTCATTTTGCCCATAGGGTATTTGTCTTTTATAATGGCAGTCTTTTATAATGGAAAAAGTAGCAGAAAATTTCACGAAACATAGCTAGAATGCGTTACATAATGATAAATAATGATCCAATAAGTCATATTAACAATTGGGTACATTGGGCTTCAGAGCATTAAGTGAATATTTATCCAGGTTCGAGGAGAGAGATTTTCTACAAATAGATTCTTATAGAATAAAGTGAAGCCGTCCAATACATTATGGGAGAGATCAAACGGTTTTAATGGCTAAGATTTCGAAATTCATGTTATTTACGAAGGAGAAATCGAATTCTTTAACCTTTAAACCAAAACCTCCATCCGATTCAAATTTATCATACTTTTTGGTGCATTTGATGATGGACTGCACAGCAAATATTAGATTCTACTAGATTTACCATTATTCGATAATTTTGCTCTGCTGGCTTGTAGGACCAGACAAATTTCTCATGGAATCACTTGGTGATTTAGTAGTAATTATCTTACCACTAAACCACTCACTTTGCACAACGAACTTCCTCTTGCACTAAACAATTTGATAAAATCTGAAACTAGCACTGCTCAATAAAAATAAGAACTAAATGTCAAGCCTTTTTTGCGTTACAAAACATATCAGCACATGAAAAGAAAAATTATGAATTAAAACACAGCCGTTCATCATCGTGTAAAAAAGCACTGAAATATGATGCCTCTGGCAGCCTAAGAAAGCATAAAATTTACCATATTTTTTGTGTTCTAAAAAAATACTCGCATTAAATTATACGAATTTTTTTATTATTCCAGAAAACAAAATTTTACTCGGATCCGTTGCTAGGAAATATCTTATGGCATTATTGAGACGTTATTTCTTGGATGAACAAATAAATTTGTCAGGTTTTCGAAGAAATTTTTTCCTAAGTTTAAGAAGGTTAGTTCAAAACGATTTCTAATTTTTAATTTATTATATGTGGAAAGATTTTGAACTTTTTTTTTCACTAGAAAAATCAGATTCATCGATGAATTTCCTAAAAAATTTCTTGCTTCTTTTGCATGAATATTTCAACTAGGTCATCGATGAGATTATCACGACGAAGCAGACAGGAGGCTGATTCAGAAATTGTGAGGCCGACTTTCCGTGATGACTTGAGTACACATTCAGTTCGAGATAATACATTATTAGCTACTTCGCCACTTCATTCTCCAAAAGGTAATTTTTAATAATATATAAGTAATTTATAGTATTTTCAAAAGCAATTTCATTTTTGAATTGAAATTAAAATATTAATTTAAATTTAAATCAAATTGATTAAATTAATTTAAATTAATTTGAATTTAAAAGTCAATTTAAATTTAAAACAAAGTACTATAAAAAAATAGAAGTACATCTTTGCTTTTAACAAAAAGAAACAAAAAAAAACTTTATAACATATTTCCATGATATATGAATATGTGGAAGTGGCACTTGTTATTTGCATGTCCATCCTTATCGTCTTCAATATTGTATAATTTCTGATAGTAAATGTAATAAATATGCGAATAAGAAGCGCAAATGACAAAAATCTTCTCAAATATCGAATATCAACAAATGTCAACCTTCTATGAATGCATATGGCTAGGTTTAGCTGCATGGAATTTCAGATTATTTGTGGATACAATGAATGAGGTGATAACTCTCTATGTTTCATCCAAACTAATACTAGCTTATCACCTAAACTTACCGCTGCACTGCCTGCACGTCAAATCTCCATGATTGGTTCTCCTTGCTTTTAACACTATCACGTAAGGTTTAGCAAATAATGAGATATACGTCAATTTTTGCGGCGTACAACAAAGAAAAAAGCCTATTTAATGGTGTATTCGTAACGATTCCACAAAGATTTCGCCAGATGAAAGAAAGCATTCTTAATTGTGTTTAAAAGGATCAATTTCTTACAGAAATCTCCCATTTCACTCTGTGAAAAACTGATAGAAATATTTTGAGAAATCAGCCTCAGATATATTACGTTGATCTCGAGATCGATTTTACTCATTGTCCAGTATCTTTTAAATTTTTTCTCAGTTATTAGCAAAAACAACCTACTATGGTATTTGATTCAGCGAGTCGTCGTTCCTATCATTTATTCATTTATATCAAGCCGTGCATGTAAGTAAATGACCTTAAAAAAGTACAATAAAAAGAAATATAGAAATAAGAAAATTTCGTGTGAAAATGATAGTTAAATGATAGGTAACGCAAAGAAAATGATTTTTTATGGAATTTTATGGAATTAATATTAATATTAAACTGTATTTAAGTAATTGTCAAATTCTCTACATCAATATAAAAGGCTTAATCTGATCCGATAAATATGCTAAGGAATCCCTTGGTGATAGAAATACAAGTAAGTCGCCAGCATCACCAAGATTTTTGGACTGATTTGGATTTATTACTACCGGACGTAGAATCTCAGCATCAGCGTTTCGAATCTCACAACAACTCACTGAACTACTCTACTCTCTTTAAATCATATTAGTAATATTCAATGAACACATTCAACTAATATAACAGATCTTGTTGTAATCAGAAATTTAATGAGAATTTAGATTTGATCTATTTAGTAGATAAAAATTTTCGTCTTTTAAATTTATTAAAAACATTGAATTGAAATTACTTAAATCATTCTGTAAAAAATTGAATGAATTGAAATTTTTTTATTTCTGCTGATTATTAGAAAAGATTATTCAAAGATTTAGCATATATTATATTAAGAAAAAAACGCAAAATTTAAAGCTTATTATTTGAACGATTTTCAGTATATTGCTTATTTTTGATGCTTGAAACAAATCTGCAAATTTATTATTGGAATTGAAGAAAATTGTGAACATTTATCCAGTCTTTTCAAATTATTTATTTATGGTGCTCGTAGAACAAGTTCATAGGTAATTTATTCATAGGTAAGCAGGTAGGTGTAATGAAGAGTGCGGATAAAAAATTTTGAGTTAAATCATGTGGGTTTTAATAAAAATTAATATTATCGTTATATAAGTACTTATTTAAAAGATTTATTTAGTCAAATAATTAACTGCAGCTGTTTATCTACGATTGAAAAATTCCGTCCAATTATAATGGTGAGAAGCAATAGAAAATCCATGAAATCCGAAAAATAGTAGAGATTATTGGTCTCGAAATATATTATTAAATTTTTCCATGCAACTCTCTCAATTTATTTGAATTTATATAGGTTAGGATAATCGGCCTATAGTAAGAGAATACATTATTCTTCCTTTTTAAAAAAGCTGTATTGTAAAAAAAATTCCAAATTTTCGGATTTCGATCTATCTTAAAATATCCTTAAAATTTAGAAAGGGCTAAAGAGGATTGAACTTTAGAATTTAGAGTATATTAACAGAACGAATTCCATAATGGCTTAAGATTTTTGAGAAAATTAAAAACTTCTAATAAATTTATCTTAATTTATTATATTATCAAAAAAACAGTTAATATCTATCTATATTATTTTTATTTTATTATTTATTTTTGATATTTATATATTTATTTACATTTAAATATTTATATTTTTAAGTGATATATATTGCCTTATAAGAATCAATATTAATATCAATAATAGTGCTTAAAATTTCTACCTTTTTTTAATCAACTAATAAAATTAGTAAAATAAATAATATAAGTTTAGGTTAGCAATAAATGAACCAATAATTTTATAATCAATTTACGAAAGTCTCTAAAATATTCAATATTCAATTCGAATTATCCCACTTTTATAGTAACATAAATATATTTTATAGTAATCAAAATATTGTGATAAATATTATAGAAAGGTTCTAAAACCACTAACTGATTAGTTAGCAGTTCAGTAGAAGGCGATAGTATTACATGCCTAACATATTCTAGTTTCTAGTAGGCATCTTGACATGCTGCTCTAATGCAAGAAATGAGCAAAAATTCAGGAAATCTTGTTTATTCTTCCAGCCTCTATTAGGCATACATAAAATAAACTCGGTTGACAATAGATATTTAGAAGGGAAAGAGTTGAAAGAGTTTTATCTTCATCCTTTGTCCTTAGTATAAATTTGTTTATAAGGGAATCAAAAGTGTTACCGTTACTATAAATTTGAATTTTATAGTGATAATGGTAATTAACCAACCACCCCGAAATAATTGTGACCACTAGAATGCTATTAAAATTACCAATTAATAAAATATGAAAGTCAAGCAATTTATGTTCCATCAAATATGAAAGTCAAGTACCTAAAGTTATAAAAAAAAAGCAAGTTCCCTATAGTTCGCATATATGCGTAGTCGTAATAATATTCTTCATAGCAACCACTGTTTCGATGTCTTAACGATTCATAAACCTCTAACCTTAGGCGATTTTATTATCTAAGATGAGCGAAGCAAAATATTCTCTAATCTTCTTGGTTTAGGTTTTGAAATTAACTTTTTCGCTGAATCTCTTTTTAACTGTTGGAATCAATGCTAAGTTTTTAAATTTTTTAGGATCAGTTAGTTGTTTATCATAGTTTCGTTGTGACGAGGTTTCTTCCTCGGATGACATTTCGTACAGATTTATACAAAATTTTTTCTTCTTTATTATGAAATATTCGCCAATGCATTCAGTTATTTATCAATTTAGTTATTCCTATCAACGCTATTAGATAACTTAGATTGTATTTTTCGTTCTTCATATCCTTTTATGTGAGATTTCTACGATCACTCTTATCAGAAAACAAGTTCATCGAGTTAGATGATTGACAATTATCGATAAATCTTGTTCAAAAAACATTTTTTGTTTTTTATATTTTATAATAACAGTAGCAACTTTTATCTTAATTCTTTGAGTACCAAGAAACGAAATAGATAGAAAACACTAAAACACAAAATCCAAACAATAATATTGTATACGGCAAAGCAATTTTAGCAACCATGATAATATCAAATCCAAATGATAATAACAAATGATACAATCACTTTACAGCTAATTTTAAATTCATTTTTTATTTTCCATAAGATAAACCGTTTTTCTTGTTTAACTGATGCCAAACAATAAGATATCGTACAAATCTTTTCAAATATTTCCTTAAATTTATCATTTTAGATTTACAGTTACCGTTATTGTTCTCGAAGGCCAAGTCAGGAGAAATGTTTAATGCAGTTGAAAAATCACTTAGCAATAAGCAAAACAGCTTAAGTCGTGTCATCGATCTTGACGAGGTCGCCATCGATTCCGCACCTTTCCAACTCGTTTTAGGATCATCACTCTATAAAGTAAATGAATTTTTTTTTTCTCAGTAATTTCATTAAATTTCCCTTCAAATAAATTGGAATAATTTTCATAGAATAATTAATCGATCGGAAGAATTTGTGCTTAAATTTCTTATCAATGCAAATTATCAGTTATCAATTCTGTTTCCAAAGGCTTCGAAGTATTTTTAAAGGAAAAATTTGATTTTAAAATTGCGAACTGCAAAATATTTCCATTTGATATGCTCTAAACCAATTGAAAAACTATTAAATGTTTTGTAGGTGCATACATTATTCTCATTGCTTGGCCTTTCCCATGCATATGTCACTGACTGTGGACGTTTGGTTGGCGTCATAGCGTTGAAAGAGGTAAATTACAAATCGCAGCACTGAATTTTTATTGAAAATAGGCATTTGAACATCTGATTAAATTAGTAAAATGTGATTAATAGTCTATAAAAAAACAATTTGTTATGAATTTCAGTTACGAAATGCGTTAGCAAATATTTATATAAGAGGAGCAGTGCCAGTAAAAGTTGATCGAAAATTAACATCAAGCGGTTATTTCGTGCCAAAATTATTCAAAGACAGTTTACTTCGTCAGGAAGAGGAATTTGATAACTTAAACTAAATGAGTATTATTAAAATATTATTGTTATTAGTTTATTGATAGTATATCTGACTGGATTAGATATTTTATGAATTAAAACCATTGATATATAATATGATAAAATTTTAATTCCATTTCTTGAATTTGAATCTTTTTTAAAATATTCATTTCCTAATGAATTCAATGAGAATTGAACGATTGAATAGAATGATAGTTAAATTGGACCAAATGACCAATAGATTTTTTTGCTAATTTTTTCATTAGAACGCTTATCATATTCTTCTTCTTCTAATAGCTCTCACCATTACTGGTGCTCCGCTGGCCATAAGGGTTTTCAAGCTGTATAATCGGGTGCGTTTTGATAATAGTAGAGAAGTCATTCATTCATTTTCCACCGTCTATGTCCATACATCGCTGGTCTCCATACATTCAAAAATTTTCCTGGTTGTGTCAGACCAGTTCTTGACTGGTATTCCTCGCTTTTGACGCCAATCATCATAGGATATAGCAAGTAACGAAATATGCATCAACTGCTGTGGTGGAAGATGGAAAACATGCCCTAACGAATGCGACGCTCTGTGATAACATTATTTATGCAAGTGGTTTTTGAACGAAGATGGATGCGATCACGTGATATCTTATCCGCTCGTCGGATCCGTAATATGTACCTTAGACAACAATGGTCAAAGGCAGACAACTTCTTAATATCCTCCACTCTCATTGGCCATATCTCAGAGCCATATAGAAGATTGAATGAATTACGGCTATATAGATGCGGACTTTCATTTTAATGGTAATTTCACGGCTGCTCCATAAAGGTTCATCAACTGGAAGAAGGCATTTCTAGTTGCCTTGATACTTATCCTACTGGGCCCTTAAAATTCTAATATATATTTTACCACGGATATTTTAAAAACAATGAGTCTTGATCTAGAAGAAAAGCAACATCACATAAAGTCAGCAAATCGCTTCCGTAAGGCCCGAGCAAAAATCGAAAAAATCCACAGAAATCAATTTTTTTTAAAATTTCCTCTTTTCTATATTTTTATTATTTATTTAAATTAAGATTGAGCTGCTCATCTAATTTGAATGCAAAACGGGTAAGAGAATAATGGTGCAAATATGACAAGAATTTTATTAGCAGATAAATCACTAATGAGAAATGTGAGAAGCGTCATAGGGTTCGATTTTTATCTGCCATGTATGAATTTTGCAGTAAAAGTGAAAAGTATTCGGATGAGAACCACAGCCGAACTAGGTTAATAGAAGGAAAAGAAAGGAAAAAAAGATTAAAAAATCCTGCTAGAGTCTTTGTGGAGCATCACGAGAAAAAGCGCAAAACTATGGCGCTGACAAGATTCGAATCTGTCGTTTAATTTTTATATGTGAAAATAAAAATCTGTTTGATGAGAGAATTTAAAAATGTTTAGCATGAAAAGAGGGTCGTTTCCGAGTCGTTTTTGCGAGAAATAAATAAAATTAAATAAATATTATTAAATATAATATTATTATTATAAAATATAATTTAAATATTATGAAATATTTATAAAGTAATTTAAATAATTAAAATAAATAAATAGACAAATTAAAGAGCCGAAATCAATAAAATGATTTTTTTATGAAAAAATTAAAATATATTTTGATATTTGTACTAAAAATATATTAAATATCATCTAAATCTGCTCTCGAGGCATAAATCTTAGTTAATTTCCAATTCAATTCGTTTGGGCAAACTGATTGAAATATTTAATAGAAAATGATATTATACCTTTGGATTATGAAATTCTTTCTGGGCTATTTTCCTGCTATATAAATGCTATATTTGACGGGAGTATATTCCATTATTCTTTATGCGGAGAATTTTGGTAAGTGGATTGTTTCTGCATTTGAAGGATTTTTTTACACTGGAATATATAATTATTTTATAATTACTATAATTATTTTTATTCACTGCATGGGATTTAGGCAACTTCAGGCTTCTGTTGGCTATCATCTTTTCATGAGAAAATCATCTTTTTTGTAAGAATTTGTAAGAAATAGAATAATTTGTAGAAAGAAGTCTATACTTTGTATACTTTTTTTTCATGTTAAGTGGGAATATTATGCATGTTTACGCTCTTAAAATAACAAAAAATAACAAAAATAAATAGCCTTTTGATTTATTATCTGGTAATTAACCAGAGTGAAAATTGGTGAAAAATAAATAGCATCATGCTACGCGAACCCCATTCTAAAGTTCTAATGGTAAACCAACTAACGCAAAAAATAAATCTAGAAGGATATTATGCATGTTTACGCTCTTAAAATAACAAAAAATAACAAAAATAAATAGCCTTTTGATTTATCATCTGGTAATTAACCAGAGTGAAAATTGGTGAAAAATAAATAGCATCATGCTACGCGATCCCCATTCTAAAGTTCTAATGGTAAACCAACTAACGCAAAAAATAAATCTAGAAGGATATCCGGTGAAAAGTCCATAAGGTTTTCCAGAATGCAATTCTTCTAATAAATCTACAATTCATCTAGTAAATCTATACTTACTTATATTGTATAAACTGATAAATTATTTGGCACATTCTATTGCATGCGGTAATATTCTATAAAACTAATAATTTATAAAACTAGAATTTTATTCTATAGCTTTATAAATTTTTGCCTACAATTCTATTGTTATCAACATACATATTATCAATTTATCAATTGCGATTCTTATTAAAACTATTAGAAGAAAACCAAGCAGAACGACATGCAATCATCTACATTTAAATTTTTCAACATATCCATGTGAAATGCCAGTTAATACACAAATAATTTATGAATATATGGCTTAGGCATCCGAATAAAACATTTACGGCTTTCAAGACCGTTTTTGTTAATTGATGCCTGGTTTACGCTTTTATCAAGTCTTTAGGGCTGATCAATTTAATTCAGAAACGAATTGGCCTAAAAATTTTTTACTTCTTTTCAACTTATTACCCTCATTCGGAAATTAATGATTGATTTTTTCCACTCAAAATTTTTTGGCAAATGCAATTCTTTCAAAGCCTTTTTTAAAGCATCTTTTCGCTAGTTTATCGAGTGCGCTGTTTTGTCGGTATAAACTATAAAGCTATTTAACTTGAATTTCAAATCAGTGTTCTCCACAATCCATTCGTGTCTATTAACTTATCGAATGATTTCATAAATTTCTAAATGCGTGAAATATAAACTACTGTGGCCAGTTCGACCGTTTTTGTCAAGCTTTTTGGAATAATCAATCATTTTTGTAAAGTTTTCATACATTATCATTTGCTTTCAACAACCTTCTAGACATGCTTTTCAATCTTTGAGACTTGGTGTGCCGTTTTTTTCAACTAAGCATGGACTGCCATTTTAGTCTATCAGGTCAATCGGTTTTGTTATTATTCATGTTATATTACTCATGAAGCTCTAGTTCCAATATACTTGTGAAGCCTGTTTTTATTTACTTTTTATTTACTTTAATGTTTGTTAGCCAACTTTATCAAGTTTTGATGCCTCGCCTTTTTTATCATGTCTTGAAGCATAACATTCATCTTATTCTAAGATCTGATAATTTCTGCACTTCAATTCCTATGGGCCAAATTGCTTAGAATATTTGGTAGAAAATGTTATATTCTTACATTATGAAATTGTTTCTGGACAAATTTCCTGTAAATGTTAGGCTATATTATTTATTATTTATATACTTGGTGCCCTTCAAAGTACCAAAATAATTCATAAAAGGAAGTAGAAATGCAATGGTTGTATAAAAAGGTTGCCCTAAGGCGATTTCATCGCTAGAATAATTGCGATTCAATTAATGAGATTTGTGCGATATTAAAATTTTGTTGGTTCTTGTCAAGCATTCACCTATTTATTGGATAACAGCCATTCTGCTAAATTATTAAGAATGAGTATGGGAAAACAGAAATTGAATTATGAATTGAAAAAAATAATTTTAATTTTATTTATGCATAGAAAAGTCCTTTTCCTGCCATCCGTGAATGGTTGGAGTCATCCTCCTATCTTACACCATCTTACACCAGGAGTTAGTGAGCCAGAGGATTCTGCGAGTATTTTAGCTGATCTGGACAGAGATATCTCTGATGCAGCTTTGAAACTTCAATTCACTGTTTTTCCATTCACCTTTTCACCTTCTTAGTTCCCAGTGGTCCATTGCTCCTACTTGTGATCCTAAATTTCTTATTTTTGAACTAGTGCTTCTCATGCGCTCTTGATAAAAGCACATGCACTGGCAATTATTTGAAAACAAGAATTATTGCATTTTGGTGTGTTGACAGCATTTCCCTATTTAATGAACAATGGTCATTCTTATTTAATGGCTAAGAATGGCAACAAATGGATAGGGAAACATTTAAATCGTATTATGAAAAATATATTTAAAAAATCTATTTTTCACCCGCTATGGGTGGTGATAATTGTCCTAAGCCTCGAGTCATCCACCAGAGTTCTGGAAAACTGAGAGTTCTGCGCATTTTCATAGTTGTTAATAATAATGCGCTCTTTCGGAGAGTCTCTGCTATTATTCATGGAATCAGCTGGAGTAATTTTTTAGTTTATGGGTTACAGTTCCAAGTGCTTCAATTATCACTGGAATTATTTTAGCCTTTATTTTCCACAACTTTTTAGTTCCTTGGTATTTCTCTAACTTCTCATATTTCTTCTTTCTGCCGTTCCTGTCTTTTAGTACTTTTTCTTCCAGTACTTATTTGTTTGTGGTGTTGAAGAAGTCCTTCGCCATTTTGTTCAGTTTTTTTGTCACAATTAGTAATCAGATAATCAAACAAGAAAAAGACCATGCTTTATTTTTATATCTTAAAATATCCTTTTACTCAGTTTTTCTACACTTTTGGTTAAAAAGTCATATTAATGCATTCAAATAATTAGCACTATATTTGCCTATTAGTTATTATTTACAAATACGAATGATAAGACGGTTTCAGAAAGAATTTAATATTCGTTGATATTTTGGCTACAAAATTTATAGTCTCTTGGAT